GGATTTTCCAGTAATCCAAGGAACACATCTTAGTCCTTGTTACTTTTTATGCCTTGTTGATAGTGACAAGACTCGGCTTTGTCTACCGAGGATGCCAGTTTGCCTTGAACTGCTGCTCGCCCTTAGCAGTTTTTTTGGTCTTCTTTAGGTTCCGCTTGACAATAGCCCAGTATTTCTCAATTGGGCGGAGCTCTGGCGTGTTGGGAGGGTTCTTGTCCTTGGGAACCACATGCACGTTGTTGGCGGCGTACCACTCCATGGCCTTTTTACCGTAATGGCAAGATGCCAAATCCGGCCAAAACAGTACGGAACAACCGTGTTTCTTCAGGAAAGGCAGCAGACGTTTATTCAAACACTCTTTCACGTAAATTTCTTGGTTGACAGTCCCGGAAGCTATGAAAATGCTGCTTTTCAAGCCACAGGTACAGATGGCTTGCCAAACCAGATATTTCTTTGCGAACTTTGACAGTTTCATGTGCTTGAAAACATCTGCTACCTTTCCCCTTCCTTTTGCCGTATAAAACTCCTGTCCCGGAAGCTGCTTGTAGTCGGCTTTGACGTAGGTTTCGTCGTCCATTACCACGCAGTCAAACTTCGTCAGCATCGTCGTGTACAGCCTCCGGGATCGCGCTTTGGCCGTCGTATTTTGTTTATCATCGCGATTTGGAGTCACTACCTTCTTGTAAGTCGATAGTCCGGCTCGTTTTTTGGCTCGATGCACGGTTGTAGACGATACACCCAGCTTATTTGCGGCATCTCGGAGAGAGAGGTTAGGGTTTCGCTTGAAACTACCGGCAACTCTCTTTGTCGTCTCAGCGGCTTCCGGTTTTCGATTTCCCCCCGATCCAGACTTCCTGGCTGTCGACAAACGTTCCCCAAACACTTTAATTACATTTGTAACGGTTGATTTGGCAACTTTTAGCGATTTTGCCAACTTTGCGTGCGAGTAGCTCGGATTTTCGCGATGCGCGAGCAAAATTTTGATACGCTGCTCTTCTTGCTTGGACGGCATTTTGACAACTGAAGAGTGAATTCCAAAATCAAAATAGGAGCAACATTCTACACACACACACCTTCAAAATGAGGGATGTTCAGGTTTTTTAAATGCAAAATTGAAAGAAATACGTCAAGCAAATTTTGACCGTATAACCAACAATCAATACAAAACTAACGATTTTAAATTGGCTCACCACTTTAGTAGCCTATTGGTCCCAAGCAAACGATTAACGTACCCTATTCTAGTTGAAATTCTATTACTACACTATGTTTGTTTTGATTCGCTATTAAAGTTTGACAGATAACATCAGGGGTGTGTGGATTCATGCAGAACATGCAGGGGTGAGTGAAATAGCTTGGGACTGCTTGGGACCGTTGTTCTGGTACTGAGTGAGCCAAAAATAATAATGATTTTCTTCGGGACCCAGTGGTCTTAGAGTTACCTCTATGGTATAACCCTTTAGGTCCCGAACAGAGGAAAAAAAAAAAACTTTAAAGATCAGAAAAATTGTAACCATGGGTGCCAAACAGTGCCAATGACTGTGCCCAGGTGTACCCAAGCTTGTTTTTGACACAGTTTGTGGAGTGACCAACCCCTTGGATGTACCTTTAGTTGTGGTATGGGGTTTAGGCCGGAATAATGGTGGAAAACCAGATACATTTTTTTTTTCTGTAATGCTTTGTTCAGACTACAGAGTTATAACATGTTATAGCGCTATCTTGATGGTGGTTTCTGTGTTGCAATTATTTGACAACCGTTATAACATGTTATAATTGCTCAGCCTGGCCAGCGCTTAAGTCTCCTGAAATAAAGTAGATTTGCATACTTAATACTATAAATTTGCCCAAAAATGACGAAAAGCCCACAGTTTTCACTTTTTTGCACCTATAGTTGCGGTAGTGTTCCTATAATAGTGACCAATGTGTTCCACTTTTATATGAACCAAAGTTAGTAACTACCACACTGGAACAGTGGTCCTGACAGTTAATCCAAAGTAGGCTCACCGACCCTAACTTTGAGCTTTCTCGTTCTACCTGCTAACTAACAATCGTGACAAGTTTTTTCTACCTTCTACCTAACAATCATGACAATGTGATTAGTGTCAACCATAAACTAGTTATCTACAGAAAATCAGTGAAATAGCGATAGCTGGACGGTACCACCCACCGCATATATGGAGGGTTTACTGTAGTGAATGGCACATATATAATCTTCAATTGTCCCTATTTACATGATTTAATTTATTTTAATATAAATTTGTTTGCACAGTTACACATTTTTTTTATTATGAATCAAGCTTGAAGGCTACCATGATTGATAAAATAAAGTATCATATTGTGCAAATTGACTGATTCTCATCCATCGCGGAGGAGCAACTAATGCTTTGATAGCACTACGGAGTCATAACATCCTATAATAGGGTGTTTCATTTTGAAAGATGTGTTAGATTTCTTCTAGACCACCGTACAGTATATTTCATAATTCCAAAATATGAGGCTGTGGTAAAAAATGATGAAGGAAGCATTTTAAATTTCCCTTATATCCCTCTAACTTTGGTTTTAGTTGTCCAAATGCTGAAATTGAATATGTAGTTGGCCAACAAGCTTGTTAACAGTCAGTTTTGCAGCAATTCAAGAAAGATAAAGATGTGACAAAATTACAAAATTAACAACACCAATTTCATCACCACAACAATATGCTCATTGGTCATTATCATGGCAACTACAAATGATTTTTTATCGTTTGGACAATTAGAACCAATGGTAGAGCAATGTAAGTGAAATTAAATAATTTCCCAGAGTAATTCGCCAAAATCTCCATACAAACTTCAAACCATTTGCGCGACCTCTAAACCATCATCAATCTTCACCATTTTTTGGACAGACTCATATCTATTTCAATGAATCTACAGGGTGGCCTATACAAAATATACTATAACACTTTTTTTTCAAAATGGAGCACCCTAATGCTACAATGGTGTTATAATAATTATCGACAAAAAAAAATGTCAAGATAGGCTTATAGAATGTTATAACTAAGTAACTCTGTAGTCTGAACATAGCATAATATATAGGATGTACAGATGTTATGTGTTTCAATCATGGTTCAACGGTATATTTTGACCAAATTTAAAAAGGTTGCAGTATAAAAAATACAGGAGTCGGAGTCAGAGTCGGAACCTGATTTAGTCCACGTGCAAATTTTTTATAGCTCCTGATCGATTCTATTGAAATCGAATGGCTAACACGAAAACTATAATGAACCGTCTATGCTATAATGATGATTATGATCTAACCAATCGTTTAACTTTCAACGTTTTTATATATTTTTGTTTTCAAGTTTCACATAGGCATGATTTAAAATATTACCAAAGTATTTGCCAAATGAAACCGGTGTATAAGGAACATAACAATTATACCCCAGTTTTTTTTGGTGCAACAAGCAAGTGAGACGAAAATATTGAATATTAAATAAGTAATTAAAATTATTCAGATTTGTGAACTGATTTCCCCAAAATTTCAAAAACTTTTGATGACTGCATTATTCAATTTGAAAATTGTATATAGATAGTAGAAATCGAGCAAAGTCGAATTTTGAGGAAGGCACGAATCGGGTTGATCATCCCCTTTAGCAAACTCATCCGTTGATGAGGAATAGGCATAAACAATTCTAATCTGTTCTAAACAGCTTAACATTTCTAAGGAATTTCTACAAAAATAAACATCTTTTAACGTTAATTCACAGTATTTAGTGCACAAAATTCATGAGACATTTCGTCACATTTCTCAAATGGTCAATAGTTTCACTGAAAAAACTGATACTCTTCTGGTGTGTGCTAATGCAGATGAAAACGTATTAACTTGAGTGCCGACAACGTGGTTTCACGCCTAGATCGCGAGAAGGAAAATATTCAGACTTCTCTCGAAATCTCAGTGCTTCTCTCTGCCTCTCACTATGATTGCATATACTGGACTGCTATGTTTTTGGTGTTTCATAGGAATCCACTCTGTCAGTTGTAGCAGGATAACTTTACCAATGTACACAGCATCATATTATTGAATAATGCTTCAGCGTGAATAGTGGCTCAACTCCTTGTTTAGTCTAATAATATTATTTATATTCCTTAACACCCCCTGGCCAGAAGGTTTTGGATAAACATACCTTTATGAACTATATTGCCGTATCAGGGGAAATTATTCGACCCAACTGACAGGTACAGCATGCTACTAAAACTGATAATCTGACGCCAATTGCTGAATAGGAAATATCTCCGCAATAATCTCAATCATATTAAAGACATTGAGATGAAAGTTACATGAAAATCGGATGGGATCCCAGAACGCTATTTGGCTACTACATCAAAATTGAAAAATGGTATTATGCAGCAAAGTCACCACAACCAAAGCTCACTGTAGGACAGTGTTGCTTAATTGAACTGATAGTATGCAATAAGTAACATTGCAACATTCGCGGTTTGGATTTTTATTAAAAAGTAATTAAAATTGATTCAAATAAACGACGATTGTACTAATTGCTATGTTACCAATTGTTACGTATTGATACTAATAATTCGCGCTACTAAAGGTAGTTTCATTTTCAAATTTAGTTAGCAAAACATTTTCATAAAAAATCACTATGCATCATTCATGTCTCCAGCGCTCCAACACTATGCCCACCACCAACGCAGCAGGAGACGGAGAGAATCATATGTAAATTATGTTCTGTTTTCTCCCTCTCTACCCATCTCTCGATGTTGTTCTTTTTGTTGCTATCGTCGGATTGTCGTCGTCAAAGCATTTCAGGGCGAGCTTTCGCTATGAGTTAGACTCGAGTTTGCAATGGAAAATACTATGAGTTTTCCATGCTAGGTAAGAGGCGAGAATGAGAAAAATTCTTCGGGAGGAACTTTGCGGGGACGTTGGATGCGTATACTTTGTCATCTTCACGATCTTCTTACCATTCTGTTATTGCATTGCGTATCCTTTCTTTCAACGACGGTTAGCACGCGGGAAGTGTATTCAGAGGCGACAAGAAATTTTTGACTGACTTGAGAGGAGGAACCTACAACAAGAAGAGCAAGTCGAAAGTGAAAAGCTCCTAGAGCAAATTAAAAACATTCTTGAGAGATAGGAGTGAAGCGAAAAGTGTACATAGGAGGCCTTGGGACTAGAGTCTCCACGAATGAAAGGAGTGGAATTTCTGCATCAAACTCAGCTTTAAAAACATTAAAGAGTTGTTGCAGTGCACTCGTATTGTGTAGATCCGAAGAACAGTATTGTACCGCTGTGCTGTGTGAGAACAAGTGTGTAAGTGTGAGTGTATCTGTGAACAGGACGACAGAGGAGATTGGTCTCAGGAAGTGAAAACATACGTAGAAGAGCAAAACTGACGCTGTACCGAAACGGAGAGATGCCTTCGCTGCAACAGGTGAGTTGTCTAATTTTACGACGATGACTGTTTTCGTTTCATTCGAACGAGTTGATTTAGAAAATGGTTGGAGATTTGTAATGAACGTTACCAAATTGATCGATTTATATGTATAAAAGTGTCTCAAATCATAAAATATACCATTTGTAAAAATATCCATGCATTCATAGACTAATAAGCAATAAAAAATTGATAGAAACTTCAAATTGTATCAACTCGTAAAATCACCGATTTTATCACGACTTATTCTAATAGGACCTGATAAAATCGGTTCGCCAAATATCCATTGTACGTGTCCAATCTTGATGGATAATGCGTCTCCATTAGCATAATCAAATTCGAGGGTTGCGCGTGTGCCTGATGTTTATTTCAATGGATTAAAGCATGTATGAGTAAATGGTACAAATAGCCGGCGCCGGTGGTGTAGTGGTAAGCGTGACTGCTTTCTCACCCCAATGGGTCTGGGTTCAATCCCAGCCGAGGTCGGTGGGATTTTTCTGATGCATACATATCTCTGCCGTTGGTTCCAGCCCATGCGTGTTCGATTGGGTGCGATATCTGCTTAGGCAGGTGTGTGGAAAACCTGCCTTCCTGCAATTCGATTGCCGTCAATGGATGGTAATTTGATGTCCGCCCGTCGGTGATTGCCACTAGATTGTGGAACAGAGACCGACGGAATAAAGTAAAAAATCGCCACCTCCTGAAGCTAAAGTCCTTTTCGCGATGTCTTGGAAATCGCAATGGGTGAGATAAAATGTGTATCGATATTCGTTGAAGTGCCACTGTTAAAATGATTGATTTTGCACTACATTGCGCAATCAATTCCAGATCAGGTCCTGATCATTCTCCCCAACATTTGAGCTCATTTGGTAATGTATGGGATTTACCAGTCTCGGTCTAGTCTTTCGCCGTACTGCTTTGCTACCTAATTTGCTATTTATTTACTTTAGAGAGCAATGAAGGTTACAAGGGGAGATGTGCCCCTCCTCCTGTTATCGTTAGTCAAGACACTATCCACTACAAGGTGGACAAGAACCTTTTGTTTACAACATTCAATTGCTTATATAAAACAAACAATGCAATACATTTAAAAATCTTGCTCCATATTGTGCTTATACGGTTTCACATCAGGTTTCGATCATACTCCCAAAATTTGAAATCGTATGGTTGAGTACTGATTTTGCACAAACTATTTATATAGAAATTGCCAAGGAAAAACCAAAATGCCCATTGTTTTCTAACAATTTTCCATATTGCTTGAGCTTGAGCTTGAGCTTGCTTGAGCTTGATTGACCGCCCACGGTTGCTACTCTGTTATTGCCAGATCAGCTGTAATTACACAGAGAACCAATAGACGATGCTTGGGACTAGCAATCATCCTCAATGTGTAAAAACTGGTGATCTTAAATTAGGCAATACCAGCGCCGGCCGCACCCGAACACAGGTCAAGAAAGGAATGGGAAGGATTGTGTTGACATGACACTCGTTTTGATGGAAGCCGAGAACACCTCTGCACTTCCACGAGGAATCACTGGGATGTTGGATAAGAGCGTTGAGTTTGCAGCAGGGTTCGTTTTGGTAAACGATAAGCTGAATTGATGTCCTAACGATCATATAACGCGAAGGAGCTTGGGACTAAACCCACGGTCTTCTGCTCAGTAAGCAAAAACGTTTGCCACTAGGCAGACGAGCACCTTTTTAATCACCGAGTTGCTGTTATTACCATGTAGTCATATTAACAAATAAAACGATTGACGAATCTTGAATGTGGATGGGCCTGAGATTAGACTCATGATGTTCTGCTCAGTAAGCAAAAACGGTTGCTCTAAGGCCACCGAGCCCCTCATATCACATAATACCGTTGCTCAAATTTTTGTATCCATTCAAACCCGGAACCAACGACAACAACGAGTTTCGCAAAATACACGATACACAAGCGATTTTACCATAAATCTCTTTGATATGTAAGGACCTGGGACCGCGTTTTTCTGCTCAGTAAGCAGGACACTGTAACCGACGATCTTTCAAATCCGAAAACTAAAAACTACGAAAAAGTACTTAGGCCTTCATTAAGTTCCACTTTCACGCGACGTTCAATGTTTCAATTTGCTCTTTACGTATTGTTCAGGCTATAAATAGGCTCTTTTCAAAAGTTACGCGAGAAATACGCACAATCGTCGCCTACCTCGCAAAACTGGTTCTAAACGACAACAAAGGCATAAGCAACGATGGATTGTTGAACTTTGCTGGCTGGTGTAGTGCTGCTGAAAAAAGATAAGTCTATTATTTTGGTTAGTGATCGTTTGGATTTGGGTCACCCCACGTTGTGCTTAGGTTAGTATAAATAAATAATACTATTTAGTCATATAAATCACCACAGCTCATTATCTTCAGCGTTATCGGTTTTCGTTTCTGGATCTTTAGTTGCCTCTGTGATATACTTACTTGCGGCATACTATTTTGGGAGTGTATATGAGCGTGTACCATGTACGGTAGCTCATCTCTCATCGTGATGGTGGGACATAGTAGACAAATTAGAGAGAAAACAAGGAGGTATTAGTATTAGTTATATGTAAACAAACAAAACAAAAGAAGAGAAGAGGAAAGAAGAGCAGACAAATAAAAAAGGGATGAAGTAGATAACAAATAAAAGAAACGTAGGCAGATTATTAGAAAAGGCATTATCCGAGACTCGGCAATCAAATGTCACTCCCGCCGAGATCTCAGCGAAACCCCCTCCCCGCCGAGACCCACACAGCCGAGCTCGGTAGAAAAAACTAAGTGTGTAGATAGATTAGTAGGAAAATAAATAAAACTACTTTATGACTCAAAGTGCAATGAATGAGCGTTAGTTTCGGGATCATTTCAGTGTTAGAGTTATGTTAGTTTTGATCCGTAATCAGCCCTGCTGACCCCTCCAACATTAGTTGCAGGCAGTGGTAGTTAGATAATGCGGCACTGTAACTACTACTATTTTAGAAGTTGAGGTTACTAGTGTATTAAATAATCTAGGTCCTATTTAGGATTATATCTGAAAAATCCAAATCTGGCCAACGCCCACCCTAAACCAAAACCTGTTCTAATCCACCTGAAATGACTAACGTATGTAAGACTTTGACTACCCAGCCATGCAATAGTCTCATTCCGTGCCTTATGGCAACTTGATGATTCTATTGCGCTCATCTTCTTGCACCACCCAGGGGAGACTTGGTCCTGTACCCAATGCTTAACTTATCTCCATTCCACTCAGCTACTCGCAATTTCTTGTGATATAATGGGCGGAATATTATTATATGAGACAATTCAATGCAGACGTCTTTCCAAATTTGGCAGATCGACAGGTAATCGGTGAGTTACCACGATAGTTGCTATTCAACAACTCGACAACGTCCCATCGTCAACGCCTGCTATGAGAATTTCCCATTGCAGACGCCAACGAAATGACGTCATCGAGCTATCGATCAACTACCCTGGTTATCGCCTGGTACCTTATAGTACGATGCTAGGAGGCGAACCGGAAGAATCGATGAGCTACCTCCCCCTTTCTAACAATTTTCCATATTGCTCTGATTAAAAAATATATTTGTATCCAGGGATTGCATCGCTCTTTGGAGCATCGCTCTTTGGAGCATCGCTCATTATTTTTAATACAGAAAACCTAAGATCAGAAAACTAACGTTAAGTTAAACTGACTTTTTTTTCAATCTATTTAAAAATATGTAGATTTAAGCTATCCACGTAGCATTGCAAGTTTTATCGAGGTATTAAAACATTATATAAGTCTAAATCATGGTTAACAGTTCCCTCATGATACCAACATTGTTACTTGGATAGTATTTTCCCAATCAAACTTCATAATTGTCGCCTCGTATCTGATGATACACCATGGTGTGCTCACCTTCCGTAAAAAATACGGAGTGAGGCTCTCCGGTGCAAAAATTGTATGATCAGAAGAATACTAGCTTTAATCCATCTATTTTAAGATGGATTAACTGAAAAGTCAATTGGGCCTCAACCTCATAATCGAACCATTTTCGACCTGTCAAATCAAGCCATTGTTGTACTCTCCCAGTATGAAGAAATCAATTCAGCTCGAATCATTATATTTATAAAGGGATATAGTGACAATACATGCCACTTTTTTCCCAAAGCATCACAATCATTTCTCCAAACTTTTTCATCAAAAAATAGTTCATTATGCTTCTCTCTTCTCTTTCTTGAATTTACTGTTCAACAGGCAACATTGCACAGTGGGCCAGATATGCAATCTAGCTGGACCCAATTAATAACTCTTCGGGGTAACATTGTAGCAAATTGATGTCTTTGAAACAATGTTGCTCAGTTATACAAGACGTACTTTGTGAATGAAATTTTTATTTTAGTGGATTCATGTTTAAGCAGTTCTGTATTGTATCTTTTAAATAATGCTTTGAAATCAGTTGATGCTTTTTTGATTGTAAAGCCAATGAATCAGTACCTAAATCGGTTACGGGTTGTGAATTGGGCCTAGAGGCTTTTCAATAACTACGTAAGCACTTAGGGGGGAAGAGGTGTTTGGGAATTTTCGTTTATTTTCTTATATTTATTTATTTATTTATTTATTTATTTAACCACCATATTTGACATTTTAGCCATACAGACTGTTTAAAGTGACTTAATCCTATTCTTAAAAAATGGTCTACTTATATTAAAATCAAAAACATCACACACATCATTAAACAGTCTGCAACATATATCGAGAGGATTGTTATAACCGTAAGCAGTACGATGTCCGGGAGTCCACAGAAAGTAATAGTTGCGGAGACGGCGAGCTGGAGTGTGGAAATTGATGTTCCCGAGCAAACAACTGCAGTCAATATGATTACTAATCATGTCAAATATGAACATCCTTTGGAGAAAGACTCGGCGATTTGTTAGTGTTTGCAGTCCAATAATCGCACATCTATGCTCGTACGGAGGTAAGCTATCTGGATTTGTCCATGACAGACGTCGTAATGCAA